ACGGGGTGGTTGCTAAGGTGTTGCTATGCAGTTGCTAGGGTACCCGGGGCAGCTGCTAAGGTGTTGCTATGCGGTTGCTATGGTACCCGGGGCGGTTGCTAAGGTGTTGCTATGCTGTTGCTATGGTACACGGGGTGGTTGCTAAGGTGTTGCTATACAGTTGCTAGGGTACCCGGGGCGGTTGCTAAGGTTTTGCTATGTGGTTACAAAGGTAATCAGGGTGGTTGCTAGGGTGTTGATATGCATTTGCAAGGGGACCAGGGGCAGTTGCTAAGATGTTGATATGCGGTTGCTAGGGTACCCCGGGCGGTTGCTAAGGTGTTGCTATGCAGTTTCTAAGGTACTGGGTTGGTTGCAAGGGTGTTGCTATGTGGTTGCTAGGGTATTGCTATGCAGTTGTCAAAGCAACAAGCCTGGTTGTTTTCTGATGTGACTGATGAACATAATCTAGTCACAATGTTCCAGTGGTTGCTAGGGTGTTGCTATGCGGTTGCTAGGGTGTTGCTATGCAGTTGCTAGGGTGTTGCTATGCAGTTGCTAGGGTGTTGCTATGCAGTTGCTAGGGTGTTGCTATGCAGTTGTCACAGCAACAAGCCTGATGGTTTTCGGATGTGACTGATGAACATAATCTAGTCACAATGATCCAGTGTTTGCAAGGGTGTTGCTATGTGGTTGCTAGGGTATTGCTATGCAGTTGTCAAAGCAACAAGCCTGGTTGTTTTCTGATGTGACTGATGAACATAATCTAGTCACAATGTTCCAGTGGTTGCTATGCGGTTGCTAGGGTGTTGCTATGCAGGTGTCAAAGCAACAAGCCCGATTGTTTTCTGATGTGTCTAATGAACGCAATCATGTGTCACACTCATTTAATACCAATGCAATTCCTGATTCAAAATTGAGTTTTAATTGGGGTAGCAAACACAATGCTGAATTTAAATAAGCAGAATTAAAATGAACTGAAATTCAAAAGAAATTCATGCGACTGTCATTTTGAACTATAAAGCAAAAACAATCTTTGAATGTTGGCTTGTTTGAAAGTTTCAAAAGCCTTGAAGTTTCCAGGCCTCGCAGATCAATACATAAACAGATCTATTTATATTTCCAATCCAACTTCCTGTGAGCGGTGGCCAATTCAATTAAATTCAATTCAATTCACACTCATGAATGGAAAGAGCGCCAGTTCTTCAGTTCCAAATTTGGTCTAAAACTAACACACACACACACACCTGCCAGTGTTTTGAGCTCTAGAGAAGCGTTTGCTTTAGTTGCATCAAGACAAAATGCCTTAATTATAATGATGTTTTTCCTACGCATGGAGAAAAGAGCATCTGAAGCAACATATATCATCAAAAGATTCACAAAGCATTTACACAAGAATCATAATTGCAGAAAAAAATCATCAACTCACTGTTTATTCATGTGAACAGCGGACAGAAACCATAGACTAACTCAATGTAGAGACAAGTCATCAACATCAAGATTTGTTCGTCTAATCGCCCAGATTCACTTGGTTGAGTAGAGACGCTAATCTAATCGCTTTTGTTCTTTTTTCAGAAAAAATCCAATTAAATTACAGACTGGACCTCTAGGAAGTTTAATGGAACTCCTGCTCTCTGAACTCAATCAACACTAAATGGGATGAAAGCAGAGACAGGAACATCTGCTGTTCTCTACAGAAAATAAAAATACTGAATGCTAAATCTGCTTGTAAACCATCTGAAGACAAAGATTCAGCCACACGTCAGCCGTTTAGTTTGACTTTCTAAATACGGCCTCCATATTCAACAATTCCCAGCTTTTTCATGTCATGGAAGTACAGCTCCTAATCGAAAGGAAAATCTCAGAAGCTTGTCAAGAATACATTTCAATTTATGACAAATATAATGATAAAAAGCCTGTATTTTTCATGCCGATCTGTTGAATGCACATGAAACCTGGAGAATAGAATCAGCCGGTGATTCTTATAAAAGGTCTTTTAATGACCTGAAAGACCTTCGCTCCCACAGTCGTCATACTGAGTGTTGCAATTTCTCACATATTCTATTTCCGATCAGTAGCAGTGTTCAGTGCAGTCATGAGGAGGTAGGTGTGTGTGTGTGTGTGTGTGTGTGTGTGTGTGTGTGTGTGTGTGTGAGAGAGAGTGTGTGTGTGTGTGTCGTACCGTTGCTTTGTCATACAGCGCGTGATTGTCCAGCAGTTTTCCTCGCTCCAATCTGGCGAACCGTCTCAGGTCTCTTAGAAACAGCTGGAGAAAGAACGGAAAACCGATTTCATATATTTTAATTTCTAAGAGTGCCATGGTTTTACCATGTTCTTTGCACATTAACATGGTAATATCATGCATTTAATGGCACCTTCATACAGCCAAGTTAGTTTGAAAAAAATTGTTCAACAAACCTGAATTTTTTTGTTCACAGATCAACATATTAGAATGATTTCTGACGATCATGTGACTATGAAGACTGGAGTAATGATGCTGAAAATTCAGCTTTGATCACAGCAATAAATTTAGATTCACATAGAAAACGTAGAAAAAATATATTTGTAATTGTATTAAAAATATAATTTTATTTAAAATAATAATATTCAAAATGCATTACACATAATAATAATGATAATGATAATAAAAATGCTTTTATTTTTCATTCAAAATTATATATTCATAAAATTGTTTATAACATTTCTTTATAAATAAGTTATATTTAATTTATTAAAAATTCTAAATAAACTCTAAATATATAATAATGCTGGTTATTTTGTATTTAAAATCCATTCCATTTATTAGGACTATTACAGAAATTACCATTACCATTTCATTTATACATGACATACAAATATGCATAACATTAAATTTATTAATGTTAAAACAGTGTAATATATATGTTACACATTGGAAATATAAAATAAACCCCCAAATGTTATCTTTTTAATATCTCAGATGTTTTTGTAAACTGCAATGAGATTAAATGCAGCACATGAATGTTGATATTGATCCAGGAACCCATGCTATTTGTGCAAATCACATTGTGCATTATAATATCAGACCGTCTGATCAGTTACAGATAATATTACCAGAGCACAGTGAGTTCCCGCTCGTACACAAATAGAATAATCTAAAGAATAAAGCCATTAAACTGTAGAGCGTCTGCAATATTATGGAGTTTGTTATTTGTTGTTTATATATTTCCCTTGAGCAAATAAAGCAGTTAAATGAGATTTAAAGTGAACCTGAACACACTACCGTGCACTGATGCTGTTGTTTATGGCATTAAGCATAATGGATCTCTTTAGAGACTCGTATGGTGGCCAGTAGACCTTTTTAAACGCTCCTCCATTAAGCTCTTCAAACATACAGTGGTTTAAATGTTTTCTGTCATTATCTAAAGCTCCTCTAGGTCACGGCTGCTCGGGCTGGATATAAACACCACTACTGGATGCCATGAAGAGAGAACGCATTAATTAATAAATGCATGAATTCATTTTAAAGTACTCCCAGCTTCTAATGAGATGCACATAATGGAATGATTTATTAATTATGATAAGCTTCAGAAACGAACTTCCTCCTGTTCTCCATCTTGGTGGTCCTCGAACGGCTGCAGCGATCCGTGGGTGCTCAAGGCATCATGGGATAGCGAGGCCCAGGAGGCGGTGAGTGGGAGAAAGTAATTACAGCTGATGGGTCGAGCTCGGCCTGCAGATGCAACGCAGGGGACGTGAGCGCTCAGGCACAAGGTCAGGGGTCGTCTATAAACAGCTCGAGTCAAACTCTATCCGTCTCTGACGCCCCTAAAGACTTTCCTCTGTGCTTATGGGACACAAACACAATAGATGGAGTCTATTGTGGAGTCTGTCGATTACTGTATGCACAATATTTAGGCCTACATTTAAGATTTATATGAACTGCATAAAAAATTGCATCTTTTTGGATTACAAAGCTTTAAAACAAACAAACTTAAACGTAAAGGGGTCATATGATGCGATTTCAATTTTTCCTTTCTCTTGTTTTTTTTTACATATTTACATATTTAACTTTTAATTTAAAATAAAGTTATTATTATTGCTTTTTCTTAGTTACAATTTTTCTTAAGGTAATTTTTAATAAAAATATAAATACATTTAAATGAAAATGCTTTTAAGTCAGTTTCATATAAGTTAAGTTAAAATGACTTTTACAGCCAAATTTTTTTATACGTAACAATTTAAGGTGGAAATTCTGTACAGTGTGCATAAATGAAACAGGTCAGATTTCTAAATGGGTTTTAAATACAAAATAACCAGGTGTGTGTATATATATATATATATATATATATATAATGGAAATCTAAAATAAATTTGCATTCAATTTTAATTTTAACTTTTTACATGCAGTATAAATTAGTCTATGTACAAGAGGGATAATTTTTGGGAGATTTTGGCATAAAATGGTTTAAACCGCCCTAATCTAAGGCAATGTCCCTGTAGATGGAGCACTCAAAAATAAAAAATAAAAAATTCTTAGTTACATTTTTTTAAGTTCATACAAAATTTCTTTAATCAAAAAATAATAATGAATTTAAATGATTATTATTATTGCTTTTTAGTAGTTACTATTAAGTGTACACTGTGCAATATGTAGTAATATTTTCACGCAAATTATCAACAAACTAATTAACCAACTAACTGTATACATATATAATATATATATATATATATATATATATTATATATGTATACAGTTATATACATATTTTATATTTTATATATGTATACAGTATACATATATTTTATACATTTCAAAATTATGATTAATTTATATAAAATGAAATAACTAATAATACACTATGCAATGATTTCTTTTATTTTATTTTCTTTTATTTTATTAGTATAGAACTGACAAATATGCATCACATTAAGTTTAGTAGTTCATTAATGTTAAAACTGTGTGCTCCAAATGCATGGACATTTGATGTGCAATTTAAATATATAAATCTTAAATTTATGCCTAAATATTTTTTTCTGAGCATGTGAAAGATGTGTCAGGATCGTGCTTGATTTTTTGGGAGATCGAGTCCTGGCACTGACTGGTTGTGCAGATATCTGTGCTCGTACCGTGGATCCTGTCCATCCCAGCAGGGCGTAAGTGAAACGCTCCAGCGGCGGAGCCACCAGATCCACACGCACGGCTCTCCAGTCCTTTCCCGCTCTCGCATCCGTCTCCTGCTCGCGCTTCAGCTTTATGATCAGGAAACACTTGCTGAAATGATCCATGGCCTCAAAGCAGTGAGTCGGCAGCTTCCGCAGGTCAAAGGTCGACTCCTGGAGGTCTGAGTACAGCAGGATGTTCTGAGTAAAAGAGAGAAAATATAAAAACATCTACATTTTATACTCATTCGTTTTGTTTTCACAATACAAGCATATGTGACCCTGCACCACAAAATCAGTCATATAAGGGTCAATTTTTTTGAAACTGAGATTTATGCATCATCTGAAAGCTGAATAAATAATCTTTCCATTGATGTATGGTTTGATAGGACAATATTTGGCTGAGATACAACTATTTGAAAATCTGGAATCTGAGGGTGCAAAAAAATCTAAATATTGAGAAAATCATCTTTAAAGTTGTCCAAATTAAGTTCTTAGCAATGCATATTACTAATCAAAAATTAAGTTTTGATATATTTACAGTAGGAAATTTACAAAATATCTTCATGGAACATGATCTTTACTTAATATCCTAATGATTTTTGGCATAAAAGAAAAATTAATAATTTTGACCCATTGTTGGCTATTGCTACAAATATACCCCAGCGACTTAACACTGCTTTTGTGCTCCAGGTTCACATATTTGTTTTGTTTGGATATAAAATAAATGTAAATTAAAATGTATTATTAATATTATAATATGAAGAGCCGATAATTATGTAAAACAATTATAAATAATTATATAAAATCTGTAAATCTGAATATATAGTTATACATTTTAATATATAAATGTAAATCAGAATATATAGAAGTCAATCTGAATATGTAAATATTAGCATGAAACTAAATAAATCATAATATATAGTTATAAATCTGAATGCATAAATGTAAATCGTGAGTATGCAGTTATAGCTGTAAATATATATAAATGCAAACTGGAATACATAGATTTAAGTGTGAATATACAAATACAAAACTAAATGTAAATCATTAATATATAGAGAAGTAAATCATTTGTAAATTGTGATTATATAATATTCTGACTATGTAATTGTTTTGTGTTCATCTGCTTCTCCCATTTGCTCTTTTTACATCGACTATCACTCTATACAGACTAATACAATCAGATACAACAATCATTTCTCAGATATTTATTACAATATATACTGATAATAAACTGGATGCTTTCAACTGATTTCTATTGAACTATCAGCAACTGAACGGCAGCTCAAACTATTTCAGATATAGTGAATTAAGCTACAAACTCCATCATAATGCACAATGTTTCCATCTAACATGTATTTTGAGCTGCAGCTCGTCATATTATTGTAGTGTTTCACTAGTTAGCAGTAAACAGGTTACCTCACCTCAATATAGATGTTATGTTTGGAATGGAAATATGGATTTTATATGCAAACATCATATTTTTAACACTAGCGAGCTGAGCCAGTAGTAGTACTGTCAGTGTCATGTAAACATGACTGAAGACAGACAAACCGATTCAATTGAGTGAGTCATTTAATCTGGAACCGCACCGATTGATTCAAACTCGTGACTTCGATCATTTAGTTCAAGCGATTCACTAGCAAAACCATAAGAGCCATCCAAAACACATGAATGAATCTTCCTAAGAAGACGGACAAAAACAGCAACTCACTTAAATATCTGACTTATAATTACATCCATAAGCTTTTGGTGAAATTTGGAGTAACTCATTAATATGTTGTTTGATCTCTTAATATTTAAGGAGAGACCTATTTAGTAGTGCTGGGCGGTATGACCAAAAATTTATATCACGGTATTTTTCAAAATTATACCGGTTTCACGGTACATGACGGTATTTTTTTTTCATGCATGACCGGGTGTTAACCATATTTTCTACTGATTGAGAGGAAATACTGCAGTATATCTTTTTTCTGATTTTTGTGGCCTAAAATAACAAAACTTGCAGCTTTTCTCAAAATTTGCAGAAATATGTGGCATTATTTTATTTTATTTTTTACAGTAATATCCTCACCAATAATCATGACGTACTTTTGTATTGTGTTAGTGACAGTACAAGTACAACTATCTGTAAATACATTTGTGCATCATTACTGAAAGTGTGGATTTTATTAGTTAATATTGCTTCCCCCATCTTATGCTAATATATATTTTTTCTACAAAAAAATTGCAGAAATTAGACAAAAATGCAAGTGGCTGCAAATAATGCAGAGTTTGCTTTATACTGCAATAAATTCTACGATTACAAAATCACAGAATCCTGTACTGAGCTATAAAATGAATGTGAAGAGCAGCTCAGATCATGAGTTCATATTGAAATCTCTGACTTTTGTAGACATTTTAGGGATCAAATCTGAGCACAGATCTCATTGAGGTCTAAAGAAACCACTAATACTGCATAAACAAGATTTGCGGTCTGTCTCTCTGAGAACCGCAGACTTCAGTGGATTTGGCTGCATCTGACCGCTCATGGCTGCTGTATCTGTCCCGTACAGTACGTGAGATTGGGATTAGAGCATCTCTCATCACAGGAGCCAAAGGTGTCCAGATGGTGCACTATTTCCGGTGCATCTGTGCTTTTTCAGCTACATTTGCCCACTACTTCGTATGCAACGGGAGAGGACTTTGCAACGCTTCACATTTGGCAGCGAATGTGAGGCTGAAGCTGCACCGTATGAATCTAAAGCACAGGAAAGATGAAGTTTAACAGAATGAATTTAGATGCTAACACTTACAAATGTGTTCACACCGGCAGCGATTTACACCTATAAGGTTTTGCATTTTACATTTATGCATTTAAAAGACACTTTTACATTTAGATTTGCATTTATGCATTCATTAGACACTTTTATCCCAAGCGACAATTGGGAAATGCAAGCAATTCGTCACAGAGCCAACAATATTTATTGTGTACAATGCCTTTCACTTCCTGACACAGAGATAAAGCTACACACAATGCTGAGTTACCGCAGTGCTTTGCATCACACTACAAGCCGTTATTTCATCAGAAAACATCTCAGCAGTCCTCAATGCATTGCATTCATCTGATTAAAATGAATTAGGAGCTATAACTTGCTAATATAATTCAGCCTTTAGTAGTCAGTGCAGTCCATACATCTGAATGCATTCAGTTGGGCTGAATTTATTTAGGAATAGTTCACCCAAAAATGAAAATATGGTGAACATTTAGTCACACTCAGGCCGTCCAAGATATAGATGAGTTTGTTTCTTCATCAGATTTATAGAAATGTAGCATTGCATCACTTGCTCAGCAACGGATCCTCTGCAGTGAATGGGTGCCGTCAGGATCATGAACTCGTATTTTAGTTAAAAACGTCTTGATGGATTTATTTCAGCTTTTGTCTTCTCGAGATGTTAACTGATGGACTGGAGTGGTGTGGATTACTTGTGATGTTTTTATCAGCTGTTTGGACTCATTCTGAAATATGTCACATTAGAGGGTTGCAAATATGGTTTCATGTTGACTTAGAGATAAAAATCTAATTTTTATTAAAAATAATCCATGCTAAAATGACAAGATCAGCGATATTTTTAAAGTCAAAACAGCCACACGCACACATAAACAGCGCAGCCAGGCGTGCATGTTTTTGCAAACGCTATCTGATGCTTCAGCATTTTTATGCATTTTATGTTTTTTTCTTTCTCTTTTGAAGGCCAGGACAAACAGCTGACGCAGAGGACAACAAAAAGTGTGTCACCATGACGACGGCTGATGTTATGTCACATTGGCGTGTGGATTACTTGTGATGTTTTTATCAGCTGTTTGGACTCATTCTGAAATATGTCACATTAGAGGGTTGCAAATATGGTTTCATGTTGACTTAGAGATAAAAATCTAATTTTTATTAAAAATAATCCATGCTAAAATGACAAGATCAGCGATATTTTTAAAGTCAAAACAGCCACACGCACACATAAACAGCGCAGCCAGGCGTGCATGTTTTTGCAAACGCTATCTGATGCTTCAGCATTTTTATGCATTTTATGTTTTTTTCTTTCTCTTTTGAAGGCCAGGACAAACAGCTGACGCAGAGGACAACAAAAAGTGTGTCACCATGACGACGGCTGATGTTATGTCACATTGGCAGCGAGCAGAAGTCAGAAACTTCAAACCCGCTGCCCCGAGAGCAAAGATTAGCTTGTGTTTGCGCAGCACGTTTGAGCCGCGCCGCCTTTAATTCACCAGCTTCTGCTGCAACTGTTGAACGTGATTGCTGAAATTGCTGTGCAGCAGTAGATCACAGCATGCATAGTGCACATAATTCTTCGAGGAAATTATACATGACTGACTTCACGTCTGCACGCTATTTGAAAAATGCATTCGACAGGAGAGAAGTAATGCAGTGGAATGCAACTATTTAAGGCCAGAAATAATCAAGTATGCAAATGCTTGGTTAACATTGTACATGATGCAAAATTTAAAACACAAAATAATGCAAGTGTATATATTTTATGCACTTGCATTATTTTGTGAGTTTTAAATTTTGCATTAGCACTCAAGAAAACAAAACAAAACAAAAAACTGCAGAAGCAATGTTGTGGCAAGCCATATGACAAAATTATATTAATAATTTATTAACAATTATAACAAATAATTATACATTTTTAATATAACAATAATTGCTGATGCATTTATCATGATATTGAATTAAGTTACAAAACGTTCTGTCCTCTTAATAACAAGTTTAATAACTTTTTTCTTACCACAAAAAGAACTCTAGATTTAAAAACAATACAACTACACCATAAAAATGTATAAAGTAAAACAAATGTTACAGATTAAAGTGCAAAAGAATACAACTTTTATTAATAATAATAATAATAATAATCATAATAATAATATATTATCAGAATATTTTCAATCAATATCTTGATATCTTTTCTGGCATGTTTTAATCCAGATTAAAATGGAGGGGGGGGAAATGAAGTAAACAAAAGTTTCTATTATAAAATATTTCATCTATAAAGAACAATTTTCATAAGGACAATTTTCAATCAATATCTAGGGCATATTTCCGGGTTATTATAGTTAACTAAAACTAATACAAACTAAAACAATAAAAATAAATAAGGAAAAAATAAAATAAAATTCATTGTGTGAAATAAATGTTAACTGA